CTAGTCAAGAAAGAGGCCCCTTTTACCTTGTAAATACAGTGGAAAGTTTTTTTAGAAAAAAATTAATGATATGAATGAGAAAGTTAACTTGAAATAAATAACAAAAGGAAGACTGTAAACATTGCTCAAAATGTTTGCACATCACCTTAACCTCTGTTCTTATTTCAGGATCCAGTGGGGATATTGTGTGGACCCAGAGTCCGAGCTTCCTCTCTGTCACCACTGGAGAGCCAGCCTCCATCCCCTGCAAGCCCAGTCAGAGTATTGGAGATAGCTATGGTACCTATTTGCATTGGTGTCTACAGAAGCCAGGCCAGTTCCCAAGGCTTGTGATCTACAAGTTTTCCAACAAGATCTCTGGAGTCCCAGACAGGTTCAGTGGCAGTGGCTCAGGGACAGATTTCACACAGAAAATCAGCTGGGTGGAAGGTGAGGATGCTGGAGTTTATTTCTGTCAGCAAGTTGGGCATGTTCCTCCTACCTTGATACAGTCATGAATATAAACCTCCCTGTGTGGGGCTGAGCAGCTGTCATAAGTGTTGCTGGTCTGCAGAGCAGCACATCAGATACTCCAAGTCTGTTGGAGAGGTGGATAGTGGGGAAGTCAGGGTGAGGGGCTGATGCTCTCTATTCCGTGTGTTCTTCTGCCAAGGACTTGTCTTCTGCCTCATCCTTGAGTGGCAAGAGTGGCAGGAGAGTGAGGTGGTCTCTGTATCTGGTATCTTTAAGCAACCAGCCAAGATGACAGGAAGACTTCAGTGACAGGTCCTCCTGTTCTTCCCTGCCTGGCACAATTGCTAGGAAATTCTGTAAGGATGAGAATTGACCACTTCTGCAGATCCTTGAAAAGAGAAGTTGAACACATATAAAAAGTTACCATTCTGTAGCGTAATTCTCAAAACATTATATCGAGTGATAGTGGAAAATGATATTTACCCAATTATTGAACTTCCACATACTATCCTTACCAAAAGGATGGCTGAGAATAATTAATAAAAACACATTTGAGTTTTGAGTATTCAAGAATCCTTGTGTAAATTCATAGTGGATCCAAGATACTAATGCCAAAAATCCTTGCTTTTTTCCATACCTTTTGTTCAATGAGAAAAAAGTTCTAAAATTAAAAAATGAGTTTGGAAAATAAACAACAAAGTAACTGATGGAGAACTTGAAGTTTAGTTCATATATCTCAGAATTGAAGATTATTCTTTCTTTCCCAATTTAAGAATTTTAAATATTGAATTATTTCTCTTATGGGAGAAAAATAAGGTATAAATAAATTAAAGAGCAAAATAAAAGACAGCTAATAGGAAATGGGGAGATAGACATTTTTACAAATAGCAAGGGAATCAAGAAATGAAGGAGATTGGATACAGTAGAGCAGAAGGCTATTTAAGAATTATATGTTATGTATTCCTACCAACTCTCTAGGATGAATATAATCATTTCAAAGTACAAACATACTAATAAAAATAAAACTTTTAAAATCAATATTAAGTTTTAGAATTTATTCTAAGTATTGTATGTAGCACCATGTTGTTATATGTAAATATTTCAAGCAAATAAGCATGCATTATTTTCATATGACATCATCATTACCTAAGACTGAATCCTATATTTTGTTGCAATCATGTAATAAACTTACACTTTGAATAGACCTTAATCGAAACATTCCCCCCATGTTATAACACATTCTTCGCTCATATCCTTCCACCATGCGTCTTCTTCCGTGGAAACAGGTCATCGTGGATTGAACCATCTGGTGAATCCATGTGAAACAATAAAGCTCTCCTTTAAATTCCAGCTTTCAAATGTTTTCTCCCATCCATGCAAACATTACTAATGCATGATGTCAAAAACATCACCTGCATAGCAGTGATGAATAAAGCAGGAACAAAACTCCTGACTGTTGTTGAACTTCAGTGTCCCATAGATGTTGTCATACAACTCTACCCTCCAACTTCACTGTTTGGATTGAAATGTCAAAGCAACTTTAGGCTGACATAACTGACCTACATGCATCTGTAGATCAAGAACAACTTTAAAAGAAGGAGGTGGTGTGTGAGGCAGGGTACTCTCTGAATCTAGCGGTCATTTCGTTCACTTTTTTACCACCCTATCCAGACTGGGATGAAGTAGGCAGAGGGTGGGACTCAGGAACCACAGTGCATCTGGGACCTTCTGCTGCCTTAGCTGCCCCACCTGCTCCACATCCCTACTACTGAGCATAGGAGGTCTGCACAGAAGCCTTGCTTCAGCTGGCCTTCTCGAGGTAAGTTGAAGTGTTCAGGGATTGGAGGAATTGAGTCTGTGTTCACAGATCCACTCCTGGAGCCCTTAGGTTCTGTCCCCATCTTACCCTAGTCCCCTGTTGGGAAGCTCTGGGCCCAAGAACTTTGCCTAAAGTGCAGCTTGAGGCTGTCATGTGGATGACACAACCTAGGATTTTCACTGTCTTAAGACCACTCACATTTCAGAATTCTGAGTAAACTGATCATCTTTTGACAGCTGATTGCAAAGAGGAATTCTTTGTGTCTCCCAAAGAATATGAACCAACAATAGATGAAATATTGTGAGAAGCATAAAAATGCATTAAAAAATCACAGACAAGTACTGGGATCCCAAATTGAAAATCTTGTAAATCATGATATTCCACATCTGCCACTAGATGGGACAAAAACCCCATAATAAATGAAGAAGAGATGCTTGAAGTAGGGAGCACAGGAGACAGAAAAGTGGCACTGCTCCCTTATCAAGAAGGAGCTCCAAAGATGTCGGGGCTCTCTCTCTCCAGATCTCGAGATTCACATTTCTGCTGCTGTGACACAGTTCACAAGGTCCATGTCTGTCCAGTGTGCTATTTTCAGAATATTTTCTATTTGTTTCTGATCTTTAATAGACAGTCTGTGAACTTGAAAATTCCATGAGAAATCAAGAAGCAGAGTCTGAATTCTGGATCTGTACTGGACAATCATGTGTGGGAAACAAATGCTGCAGTTCTGAAGATGCAGCAACCCTGGTGATATCAGGCTGAAGTGGCCTTGTGAATTCAGAGGAGGTGGAAACAAAATACACTGAAGCCTCCACTCAGCAAGAGACAGACACTTTGGCATGTCAGAAAAAGTAGAGGGCAAGGAATGGAAAAGGGAAACTGGATGTAATGTCAGTTCTGTGTCCCAGTTCTGCTCCCAGTAGGAACTGCATGGTCCACAGATATCAACGCACGGCCTGCTATTCAAGATGCTCAGTCTCTGCATTGGGGAAGAGAAGGTGGTAATGCAATAATCGTGAGTCTTCAATGTCCATTCTCAACTTGAAAGAGTTAAAAAGTTATATCAAACACTCATGTAATAAATTATTCATATATTTATTTAAGACTCCTATTATGTGAACATAATAGACACATAATGTATGTATGTGTTTGCCAGGGCTCCTTATCTTTCTTAGCAGATCAGGGCATGACTGAGACAAGACTCTGAGAGGGAAAATTTCCTGATTCTTCTCTTGTTCTTTGTCCCTCAAGACAGTGAGAAGCGTACTTAGAAGAGCTGCACCCAACCCTGAGGTTCTGGTTTCTCACACACTTTTTCTGGCCTCTCACTCTTTTCCTGGTTCAGTGCCTGTGGGTGTTGAGCACTTTCCTTCTCTGGTCCTCAGCCCTCAGCCGCAGACTCAGGACATCAGCTGCTTCCTCCCCAGCCCACAGCTCCCTGCAGAGCACATCTCACCTCAGCCCTGGTTTGAACCCACTGTTCCCAAACTCTTCCCTTCATTTTATAGCCAGAAGGTCTGTGCTGCTTCACATTCACACCCCTATTTCCACATTTGTCAAAACCAGGACTGTCACTGGGAAATTAGATATTTGATTTCATCTCATTATCAGGGTGAGGCTTATTGCAACTGGGATGGGTAAAGGTTTCCTTCATATCTCTCTAACCCATCTAATTAAAAACTTAATAAAAAGCAGCATTAAATTAAGGCAAATATTTTAAAATGTCAACACAGTGACCATTTTACTTTTTCTTTGTTATATTAAGCACCTATCTGTCTTACTACACATGTTAAGGACAATAACCCTCTTCTAGAACAAGGCAGTTGGAAGGATTATGAGAAATATGATAAGCTAAGAAATGAGATTAAAGAGGTATGAAGACAGTAGACTGATGTCATGAATAATTTTGGATTCTCTAAAATAAGATGGTAATGGGCTTTGCCCTGAATTCCTCCTAGGAATAGTTATTTGAATTCTTGAAGCTAAGAGACAGCGAAGCCCTATTGAGGACACCAGGTGTTAAGAAAAATATTAAAGATTCCACATGGTGACAGATGCAAAACAGAAAAATCAAAAAGTTGAATCTTTCTGCTGTCATCAAAATGATACACAAATTCTAAATTGTCCAACATTCCCATGACTGTTCATAGGCTTACATTATGTCTCACATTTGTTTCTAAACTATAATATATTGTTGAGAAAATATACTTGAGGGGACAAAACTTGGAGAGCCTTTGATTCCATTAAGAACACAGGCAGTATCATATGTTGGTGTGTGTGTTTGGAGAGACAGGCATGAAGAGCTGGAAAACATAATGGCTTATATCCAACCTTGGCATTTTAGCCAGGTTCGGTCAATGTCTACAGACAGTTAAACTATTTCAAAGAGTTTCAGAATTTTATTATCTTCATTTTCCTGTTATATTTTACCCATGATATTTTGTTTGTTCATGTTTGCTTGAATTTCTCCCACTGCCAAGCATCATGGACATATCATTGTGAGTAATAAACAGGAAAGAACCATGTGCAGAACCACGAAGAGGCAGGGCATCACTAAGCACTCTGCTGTTCTCAGTGACTCTGCCCTGTGACTCCCAGGCAGAAACAGACTCTGCAACAAATTTGATCCAGCTTGGTCTTGCCTGAGTCTTGGGCTCCTTAGCCTTACCCAAATTGCTGATATGAGGCAGCCCTACAGCTGTGCCCAGCCCTGCTCAGCCCCTGCTGATTTGCATGGTGGAGCTCACAGCCCTCTGCCCTGAATATTTATTATGCTGCTAACACCCTGTGCACAAGCCAGTCCCAGTTAGGACACAGCATGGACATGAGGGTCCCTGCTCAGCTCCTGGGGCTCCTGCTCCTCTGCCTCCCAGGTAAGGAAGGACGTGGGGATTTGCCCAGACCAACGTGGTCAGTACTTCCTGGCTCTTGAGAGAAGTTTTCTTAAAGCCTGATTGATTGTGTGGATCTTTGTGTTTATGTTTCCAATGTCAGGTGGGCGATGTGACATCCAGATGACTCAGTCTGCATCCTCACTGTCTGGCTCTGTAGGAGACACAGTTGCTATCACTTGCACAGCCAGTCAGAACATTTACAGCAATTTACAGTGGTATCAGCAGAAACCTGGAAAAGCTCCAAAGCTACTGATCTATGGTGCAAGCAGTTTGGCATCTGGGGTCCCACCGAGGTTCAGTGGCAGTGGATCTGGGACAGATTACACTCTCACCATCAGCAACCTGGAACCTGAAGATGTTGGAACTTATTACTGTCAACAGGATAGTAGATACCCTCCCACAGTGATACAAGTAATAACATAAACCACCCAAGAAGCAGAAGTGTGAGACTGGGCTGCCCTAGCAAATTCTCCTGATATCTCCACATGCTCAAAATATTTTCTAGATGAAGCTATACTTTGAAGATCAATGGGAAATTTTCTAGAAGGAGTCAGTGATTCTCTTGTGCACCACCATTGTCTTTAGTTCTGCTCAGCCCTCGCAGCTCCAAATATCAAACACTTCCTTAATATAAAGGCAAGAGTGTGATACGTGAGTATTCTCTGTTGTGCTATCTTTTGGAACTCAGTGAACAAGTAGCTATTGAAGACACTCCACCAGCAATTGTTTTAATACAGTGAATTATACTCTAACTACAGCTTTTACTGTCCTGATACAGTCAGAGAAGCTGATACTAGAAATGGAGTGTTCTCTGACGCTCCCCTAAATTGCAGTAGCACCAAGAAATGAGCCACCTAATTGTGATCTTTTGGCTGTGGAGAAAACCAAGGGTAATATTATGATTCTGTCACTTGTTTGATGCATCTATTCTTGTGAGTTTCCAATCTTCAACTCTGATCATATACCTACCTGGCAATTTCCATAAGCAGTAAATCTATTGAGTCTTGGAAAACTCATACATTTGTTTCTCCTTAGTCAGCTCTGCCGCAAAGTGTAGAAGGAGAAGAGGGTATGAGAAATTTACCTTCAGAATTGGTGGTGATACCGGAATTTATAGCTGATGGTGCAGGTTGGCCCATGTTGCCCTAAGTCTCCAATTTTTTCCAGTTAATTAGCAGCCCCCAAATATGTTGGAATGTGTTTCATTTATTGTCTGTGAATACCAAATCATATCCTGCAATATCATTAAGTCATGTACTAAACTGAAAATAAAAGGGGATTACCAAATATATATAGAAACTCCCACCTGTAGTTACATGTCAGCATACACTTGAGAAATTTTCATTCACAAAACAAAACAGAAGCAAACTCTCCCAGTAAATAGATTAAAAATAAAAATCCAGAAAACAATTGGGTAACTGCTATTATTTGACATTTTACTTGATCCAAGGCTGGCAAACATGGCTTCCAGTCTACAGCACATCACTGTGCAAGTTGCTATCAATGGTTTCAATGAAAGAATACATAGAGGTCAGTTACTTTCCATTCCCCAAAACCCCAGGGAGTCCCATGAGCAAATGCTAGGCCATCAGACATAGAAGGCCATGCATGCACTGTACAAGTGAATTACATCTAACTGAGGATGCCATGGCTAATGGAATTTTAAATTATCTGACTTGCAAGGAAAAATGACCTGTTCCTATTAAGCATATGCTTTGCCATGTATTAGTGAGCAGATCCCACTAACAGTAGGTACCAAGTTAATTACTGTAGACAAAATCCAACATGTCTAAGCAGTGATTATTCTATGGCATGTGCATTTTTTCTTCTTTATACACCATGTCTAGACAAAATTCCCTTTGAAAATTAGTCAGTTTTTCTCAGAGTTAGGACATTCCACACAATGTAGCATTAGTCCAATTAACTTACTTAAAGCAAAAAAAGGAAACTGAAGTGTGTAAGCTAAGGATCTCTTCATGTCTCAAGTACACCTGTCCTTATAGAAAAGAAGGAACCCAATATTATTCAGTGGAGGATGATGTTAAATTGCTGTCCTACTAGATGTAGGGAAGATTCTCAAATACAGTGTCTAGTTGTTTTTTTTTATTTTCACTTATAGTCAATACGTTTTTGTTAGGAAGGAAAGAATATAAAATATTCAGAATGTAATTTAGCTACTTCTGTACCCAGTATGTTTTTGATACCAATAAACACAGGAAAAACTTCAATTGGATTCCCTGCTGATGAGGACAATTAGCATAGCTTCCTCAGGTTGGTGAGGATGGGGGGGCCCCAATCTGGGCTGATGGATGTCTCTGTCCTCAGGGCAATTGTGTCTTTCACTCAGGTTTCAGAGCCTAGTTCCTTCTAATCTATGCAGCTGTGATCATCTTTGAACACATTGCTCTGTCTTATTGATTGTCTTAATAATTTCCCTTAATTTCTGGTGTTTAAGGACACTTGGTAAACATTACTGAATAGTAAAGAAAAAGTATGTCAGGAATGTAAATTTTGATCAGCTAGCTGTACATTTAGCCTCATCCACTGAAGGAAATATCTAGGAATGTTGGTGTTACAACAATAAAAATGGGACCACAGGCATTTATTTATTTCTACAATGGTTGTGGCAAACAGCACCTGGCTGTCTAAGTGAAGGGTGAAGTTTTAAGACACAAAGATTACATTATCTGACCAGAGAAGGGAGATTCCAGCCTTAGGCTCACTGGAGGGCCTTTCCTGAAATGAGCAGCTGGACATGAGCTGGTCAAGTGCAGCAAGAGGAGGCAAGAGCAGCCCAGCCAGCCCAGGTGCTCATGCTCGCCTGGTCATCCCTACCCTCCCTGCAGGCAGAGCCCATATCGATGCCTGTGGCAAACTCTGGGGTGGGTCTTCTCCAGTAGGGCCCAGACTGAACAAGGGAAGCCCAGCTCTGCTCCTCTGCCTCTGGAATTCTGGCTTCCAGGTAAGTGTAACATGGGGTAGCTCAGCTCATCTGTGAAAACTCTCTCAGTATCATGGAATTCTGTGATCTGATACCTGTGCTCTGCAAGAATAGACCATTAGTGCTATATCCATTTCAAGCAGTTTGGTTCTACTGGGACACAACAGGTCTGATGTAGATGATAAGGATAACTTTATTGTTTGATCTCCCATCTCAGATACCACAGAATAAATTGTGATGGTGCAAACTTCTTCCCTGTCCATGTCTGCAGGAGATGCAGTCACCTTCCCCTGCAGTCAGAGCACTAGAGGCAATGTCGCCTGACACCAGCAGAAATCTGGGCAGGCTCCCAAACTCCTCATCCACAGTGGGTCTAAGTCTAACTTGGCCCTTGGGGTTCCTTAACACCAAGTTAGTGATATGCTTTTAATTCACCGTCAGTAATCTGAAGCTTGATTATTTGCTATTTATTTCTGTTCTTAGTATAGTAGCAAGTCCCCCACATTGATTCATCATGGAAATAAGTCCTCTGAGAATTTTTTTGTTTTTTACTCACACCAGCTGCTTCCTTTATAGACAGCTGCTATGGTGTCTGCTCAGCTTAGCACCTCTTTTTTTTAAATCTTGTGGCAAACTTGTGGTTATGAATGAGACAGAGCTAAAAGTATTTCCAGTGCTATGATTTCCACTGTGACTCTTACACATTTCCTCTCACTTAGTTGCATAGGCCAGTTCAGGAACAAGTTCCATGAAATGACCTTAGATTGATATTGACATTCTCAGTCAGTGTGAGAAAGCCTTTCAAATTCTATTGGACTGCCTAATACAATAATGTTGGTACAGAAAAATAACCATAACTGAAATGGAAGGTGAACATTCATAATGTACAGGCAAAATGATTATGTAAAAATGAAACGGAAAATAAAAATCAATCTACAGAGAAACTATGAGCAATTAACGGTAGAAATAGCAAATCAGAGGATTCAAAAATGACACAAAGCATAGTGGTGCATCCACTATGGAAATCAGTGTGGAGATACCTCAAAGAACTAGGGCTGCAGGTCCCTTTTGACCCAGCTAGTCCCCTGCTGGGTATTTTCCCAAAAGAATTAAAAGAATCATACCACAGAGATATATTTGTACCCATGTTTATTGCAGCACAGTTTGTAATAGCTAAAGCTTGGAAACATCCCAAGTGCCCATCAACTGGAAACTAGATAAAGAAGATGTGGGTGTTTTTTACAAAATGGAGTACTACTCAGCCATGAAGAATGAGAAGCTAGAGTCATTTATAGCTAAATGGATGCATATTGAGGCGATACTCTTAAGTGAAATAAATAAGACACACATGTGTAAATACCAAACAGTTTCTCTAGTGTGAGAAACTGAGAGTGTAAATAAGGATTAACAGGATTAATAACTAATAATTGATACTTTGAAATAGGAAAAGGTCCAAAGGGGTAGGGGTGGTGGGAGGAGATGGGGAAAGGAAAGAATGAAAAGGAAAAATTATGAGAAAAGAAAAAAAATGGAAACGGAGTATGTAAATAGGGAAGGGCGCACAGGTAATGGGGAAAAATAAGAACTAAGATACATCATGTACAGGTACAAACACCCAATGATAGATGTAAACATACTGCATACCTAAAATGTACCAATAAAACAATTTGAGCAGAAGAAAAGACACAAAAATGAAATTTGTTTGTATATATCAACAGCAGAGTGAAAAATTAAAGTTATTTTTTTAAAACCATTTATAATACTATCACTTACAGTACAATTAAAAAATTCAGGAGAAAACAAAAATATTTGTAAGTCTGCTAGCCTCAAATTTCCAGAATATTTTTCCAGAATATTATTAAACATCATCATCATCAACAACAATAACAACAACAACCCTAACAAATACTTAAGGAAACAGAACATCATATTTATTTCAATGGCTTAAAAATGCTGATCATCATCCTTTTGTGAAATGAAAATTTATCAAATGATTCTCCATTGTTTAACAGGTGTCAGGCCTGAGGAAGCAGCAGGGTAAGGACTAGCAGACCCAGGTGCGGGATTGTGGTGCTGGGTTGAGGGCAGCCATGCAGTCCTGTAGAAGAGAACAGGGTGTGCAAAGACAGCCATAATGCCAAAGGCACATCATGTACACTTGTGTTTAACAGGTGCTCCTTCCCTTAGCCAAAGTGAGACTGAATGAGAGGAGATGTGGGGAGGGGACATCTGCTGACACCATTCTTATTCTTGAACTTCAGGGACCAGAGAAAACAGTGTTGAGCGAAGCCAGCACCACCAGCTACGGCTCCTAGTCTCTCACACTCTCGCTCTAGCAGTTGCTGTCAACTTCCATAAGCAGCAAATGGAGTTGATCATTTTCTTTCCCAGGATCCCTGACAGGAACACATGGGCAGGGTCTTTTGTCCAGCCAGGTCCTCAGTCTCATAGCTCAGGACAGCAGCTGCTTTCTCCGCAGCCT